TAAAAAAAAAAAAAAAAAAAAAAAAAAAAAAAAAGGAACATAGATATTTTTATGTTTCCTACCTGGAAACTATTGATAAGAGGGAAATTTCAGTGTACATATAATTAAATTCTGTTTTTTGCCTTCTCATAAAACGTAAGTTATTTAACTTAGTCCTTAAATAACCTTGAAAACATCAAAGGAGAGGACTTGGTTGAATACTGAAAGCAGCATTGAAGCACCTCCACCCCTGTCCGTCCTGTTAAACTGTGACTCATTCTTCAAGGGTACTGTAGTTGCTTCCTCTGGAAGCTTAATGTCACACGTACAGATTGCTCCCTTAGGTAGCAAAGCCGGTCTCTGAGACATGAGTGTATAAATAGTATAATTATAGCACTCTTTGTGTCAAACCAAAAGTGCAACAAAGTATTCACGCAAGGTCTGCTGGCATTAATTAGCTATGATCAGAAGAACAAAACCAACGCTGGTTTAAAATATCCCTTGCTGGTAAATGTATGATATTTATTAAGGGAAAGGAACAGAAGGGAGACCGAGTTTGAGTTAGAGGAGAAATCTAACAAACATATCACTCTGTGACACCTTTTGGAATGGGAAAATGTTTTTGTTAAGTCATCACAGTCAAATAGAAAGAGGCTGGATGCAAATCTTATCATCTCTCTTCTCCTTTATTAGCTCTATGGCTCTTCTTGCCTCTATTTTCTCATCTCTAAAGTGGATAATAACAATACTACCTAATGTCAGAGTGATGAGAAATGAGAGAATTAAACACTAGCACACCAACCATTAGCAGTAACGAAAGGCAGTAATAAAGGCTGTCATCTGCCATATTCTTGCAAATAAGAGAGAATAGATCAATTGTTTAGAGGTACTATATTCTGTAATGTCTTCTCACTTTGGATATAAAATGCCATGGCACTGAGGTCAACCAAAAGGAAGTGCAAAGATGCAAAAGGAAGAATAAGAATAAAAATGACAAGAAAAGACACAGATTAACACATGGCCTCTAGCAATCTCAGAAGTAGTAGGAACTTTAATGACCATATAAATGAACTGCTCCCTCCCTCAATCCAGATGTTTGGCTGTATTTTTTAAAATCACCACAGGACATACACAAGACAAAGAGAGAAAGCAACCCCTTCCCCCAGTGGGGCATGGTCATGCCCCAATCCTTTTTCTTCCATTTGTCTTTCTAGTCAAGATGTTGGGCACACTCTCGATATGGGTGTGTCATGTTTTACAAGCCCCTGCGGCTGGGGTCTAACCATGGTAGGCCATGGGGGCTCCATCTCCCAATGCACAGAACTTAAGCACTGCACTATGGACCAGGCCTGGCTGTATTTTATTCTTATCTAGGGACCAAAGAAAGCAAGAGAGGTGGATTTTTCCCTTCTAAGTGGCTGTCCTAAACCCGAACTTGTGAGAGTGCACACATCTGGAAAAATGACACGATTCTCATCTAAAGCCTTTTACTATTCACAGTCAATAAAGCACTTGAGAAGAAACAGCAAATGCAATCACCTTCACTGCGGCCTTCAGTGTTAGACGGTTAAATTAAGGGCAACCCTATCCTCTGTGTACTTTATTCTTATAATATTTCCCATGTGGCAATATCATAACCCTCTCAGAAACACTTCATGTTAATTACTGTTAATTCATTTCCAATTAATTCTGCTAGGTGAATATTCCACCCAGACCTCGACTTCTAGGATATTTCAATAAACCACTTGCTGCCACGTCTGAGAGCCAGCCCTATCTGATTGCCTACATGCGTCAAAACACCATCTGCCAGGGACCTGCTGTGTCATAACACCTTGAGTCACAGAGGAGTCTGCCTGTCTTTTGCGAGAGCAACCGCAGGCCTCAGGGCTGCAGCAGACCTCAGCTTTCTCTGGGCTGCAACTCCTGAACTCCCACTACCTGCACGCACTTTAGGCTGGGTGTGCCTGCAGGAGATTCCGCAGGGCACCCCTACTCTCAGCAACTTAGAGTCAAGGAAACAACAAAAAAATTAAAGTTCCAAAGAGACCTGCTTCGGGCCTCTCCTATGCAGAGTCTAGGACTGTCACCCACCCCCTGCCATTATATCCCTGGCAGACTTCATGTGTGTAGCTGTTGCCCGGGACCACAGACTCTCACAACACATATGTCAGACCTGACTTGGTACAGGTTACCAGGCAGAGCCCGGCCCCTTAGCCTCTTCTCTGTATGGCCTGGAGCAAATTGTAACCAGAAAGGGAAAGGCTGGCCCTGGGAAACAAAGGAAGTCACTCTTGAAAGGAGTTTGCCTGTCAATGATTCTAATCTTTAATAGCTTTCAAGGGGCTTGGCCTCCTCATTTGCCTTTGGCCGGCTTGCTTGAGGGGATAATGTGGGGATTCTTTTTCAGTGTCAAGGTCTTGCTGGCTGCCATTTCCTTTTGATCAGTCACACTTGGTACACACTGAACTTTCTCCTCTGACCTCCAAGTCCCCAAATGCCAAACCTATGTCTGCAAAGCAGTATGGGGCATGGGATTTTTTTTTTTAATGCATTAGAAACATAGAAGTAAGACTCCCCAATATTGATTTCTATGCATGTTTTCAGGGCCTGTCCTCCCTCCCTCCCCCACAGATTCCTAAAGAAGAACTGCCCATCATTTTTTAAGCTCTTGGTTACTTTAACAAACAACTAGCCAAGCCTTTTTATCAGCTGTCCCCTCTAGTTAAAAGCTCTGCATCCAAAGCTGACTTTCTGATCTGAAAGAAGTTGTTTTGGTTTGACACTTTGATTTATGTAAAATAAGAATAGTTGAGGGAAAATTTTTTTAATCTTACTTTGTCACTCTTTAGGTTTCCTTTATAGACCCTGCATCAGTGGTCATGGAACAGGTGGCAGTGTGCTGCTCTGCAGTGCTGGAAGACACATGGCTGACCGCTGGTTTGGATCCCAAGCAGACCTGAAAACACTCCAGTTTGAAAGGCCCAAGATCCTATTTGGAGAGTTGAACAAAGTGGAGTGGTGTGACAAGACTCTGTCAGAGGTGTCTCTCCGTCTCTCTCTATGTATGCACTTTTTTTTTTGTATAAGACAAATAAAATAAACTTTAAGAAGTTTCCTTTATAGTTTTTCCCTTCTTACCTTGTTCTATGTTAGCCTAAAAATACCAGGTTAAAGACTTGCTTACCTGAAAGCATTTCTAATCCACTTCGCTATCTTTTTCTCTCTCCCTTTTTTTTTTTTTTTAAAGATATTTTTGCTATAGGGTACATATGCTTGCCAGAGACAGAGTCAGAAAGTGAGAAATCACTCCCCCAGGGGGGTGTTCACACTGCAATCCCTTCTCCTCCATTCTCCTCTCGGGATCTTGGGCACGCACGCACACGCGCCCCGTGTGAGTTTTAAGCCACTGGGTCTGGGACGCGAACCGCGGTCGATTACGTGGAGTCCAGTGACATAGCCAATACGCTAACTGTTGGTTCCCATTTTTTTCTCTCTCTCTCTTTTTTTTTTTTCACTTCGCTATCTTTTTCTGAAGGATAATCTTGGAACCCAAACCCCTGTGAGGCCCTCAACCCTATCCTTCTTCCTTCAGCCCATCCTGCTTCCTTCAGCTGAGAGTAGACCCATCACCGAGAGCACAGACAGCAAGTAGGGACGGTGATACAGCTGCCCCACCTAATGTATGCAAACTATCAATAGATATTTTGTGGTAGCTTTTCTTTCTCTTTCTTTCTCTCTTTCTTTCTTCTTTCTTTCTTCTTTCTTTCTCCTTTCTTTCTCTCTTCCTTTCTTTCTCTTTCTTTTCCTCTCTTTCTCTTTCTTTCTTTTTTTTTTTTTTATTATTTACATAACTGCAATACTCTTTTTGATTCACTTTGCTAGTGGAGACTTAGCTCCTGGTCCTGTAAATTGCTTTCATAAAATGCTAAAAGTCAAGAAGTGAAGCATTTTGCTCCAATAAGCCTAAAACCCAAACTAGTTCATTGCTGGACTGAAAGAAGACTTTCTGAAGAAAAATTAAATCAGTGCCTATCACTTTAATACTGAACTCTAAAAATACAAGTATGGTTTCCTGTCTTCTTCCAAGCTGAGAACTGAAGCCTTAACATTCTTACACAAAGTCATTGCCTGTATTGCCTCTTGTGCTAGTTGCAAAATGTACAGGGATGAGGGGAAACGATGATAGATGAACACATTGCTACCTAATTAGCCCTTGCCTACCAACTAGGGGTCAGGAGAGTACAGAGAAGCAAAGCCCGTCTCCACCAGGGAGACGATGGAGGTGGTGGAGAGAGGTTCTGAGTAACCGAGACGTGTGTAGGTTGGCTAAGGAACAGGCACTCTGTTGTATGTTAGTGATTGCTCAATTTGTTTACATGGTAACTCATTTACGCTGCTGCTCTTTGTTCTTTAGTGAAGGTAGATGATCCAGCAGAGCAAACCTTTGTTTCTTATGAGCTCATCTTCTCCTGCATTCTGTGCCACACCTGTAATTATAATTATGGCCCACTGCTTGGGATGCTGTAATCCGTCCTAGTGAAACCAATTGTGAGTTCATAAACCGAGTTAGCAAAGAGAGAATGCCTAAATTGATAGAATCAGCTTCATTAGTCCCTTTCATTGGTTATTCTGGCTGCAGTTAATCTATTAAGATGTAGGTGGTTAACATCTTTCAGTAACGTGGAGGCGTCCTTGAATTTTCAAGAGAACTGTGATGTTATTAAAGTATTATGACTAGGGCACTCTGGACAAGCATAATGAGGCAAGGCTTTCTAGAAAAACAAAAACAAAAACAAAAACAAAAAACAACCAGTTACTATTGAGAGATAAAAGAATTGCTGAAGTCGCATCTCAGATACGACATGGCTGAAGGAAAGGGAATCCATGCAGAGTCACTGGAAGTGAACTCCTGAGATACAGTCTTAGAAAAACATTGCATGTTGTCTGTTTATTTTGACCACATCTTTCTTATGCTATGAGTATATGTTTCAGCACTAACAGACTGTGTTCCTAAAATAATTCTCAAGAGTATGAGAAATACAAGATCAGGAGCAGCCTGATGATTTCACAAATTCATTTTCCTTCAGATGAAAAAAAAATTAACACAGAACTTTTTTTGTTTCAATTACATACAGGCTTAGGGACATGCAGGCCTTGTTCTAAAGTTTACAGAGTTCTCTTTTTATTCTGAAGAGCCATTGTTTCTCTTTGATATAATGTTCTTTCTTAGATACTCGATAAGAAAAGGAATTTGTGATTACTAGGTTTAGATGCAGTTCCCAGTTACAAATTTTTTTCTACAGACCCAAAATAGGAGAAGTGGGGTTTTAAATATACCTAAAGCAGATAAGACCTCCCCCAAAGTTTTTATTTCTAAAGCCTGAGTTCAAATGTTACAGCTTTCAATTGGTCTATTGTATTTCAGTCAGACAAAGGATTTAGTCAACTGCAGTGGCATTTCAACTTTTTAATCCTGCTGCAAATTCCTGTATGTACCATGAATTTTTTTTTCTCATACATCAAATAAAATTCAACTTGGTAAAATAGAAGAAACAAAGTCAAAACAAATATGAATTGGTCTAGCATAACAATAATTAATTCAATTTATCACTAGGCCCATATTCATCTTATGAATAATGCATTTGGATAGAGTGTGTGTGTTTCACAAAAATATATATTCATAAAAGAAAAATTGCCTTTTAAAAAAGACCTGCATGTCTTTAAGAAAGAATCCCCCAGTTTTTTATTAACAGTCATCATTACCTCAAGCAATGATTCTCAAAGTGTATTCCCTGGAAAAGGAGTATCAGCGTCACTTGGGAATTTTATAGAAATGCACATTCTTGGGCCTCACTGAAGACTTACTCACTCAGAAACTGTAGAACCGGAGCCCTACAACCTGTTTTAACAAGCCCGTTAGATGATTCTGTGGCCCTCTCGAGTTCAAGAACCGCTGCCTTAGCTCAGTACACCGGACCTTCTGTCCAATCTCCTTACTTCGAAGTCTGCTTCCCCAAATGGCGAGCAAGTACAATGGCTCCAGAATGCCCTTTTCAAATACTGATTTAATGATGCCACACCCTTCCTTAGAATCCTTTTGATGATCCCCTTTACTGCTGAGTCAGAATACCCATGTATTGAAGGCTCTTCACTCAACTGGCCTTTGATAAACTCTACAGCCCTGTTTCTCCCCACTGGCCCTAATCCCCACACTCCCTCATCCTTCAGCCCATGCACACACACAGGTGCACATACCCATGAAGCTCTAGTTATTCTGACCCCCCTTGCCCTTCCGCAGATAATACCGCAGTCTCCTTCTCATCCATTGTCCCTTCCTCCAGAAATGCCCTTTCCTCTTCCTTCTCATCCACTCCTTCCTTCCCACTTCTCTTTAGCTAGGTAACTTGTTCTCTTCCTATCAGAATTCTCTGCCATTCTCACTCATCTCCTCCCGGAAGCTTGGCCTAAACACTTCTATTCATATCCAGGCCAGGCTCCTTTTTTGGGTGTTGCCACAGATCATGCTGCATACTTCCGTTGTACTTGCTAGCTAGAATTACAACAACTTACCTGCCTTCTGTCACTTAACTATAAGCTTCTGAGTAGGAGTGGCTATCTCTTAGTCTTGATATCCCCACATCTATTATAGGGCTTGGTTCATAACAAGTATTTCATGTTGAATGAATGAATGGATGTGTAAGTCCTTTGAAACTACAATACAGATGAACAGAACTGGGTCCAAAGAGAAAAAGTGGCCTGACAAATTTGCTTTGTGGAGATTAACACTCCTGATCTTCTGTTACTTCATCCAATATTCTTGCCACCAAATCATCCTGTTTTTCAGACCTAAGGAAAAATTCACTGAAGTGTTAAGTCACCTGATCTGCTCTAGAGAAACAACTGGGACTAGGCAGTTATTTACATTCGATTTGTAACAGTTTTACCAACCCAATTCTGATATTGTGATGAAGTATCCTAGGAAAGGTGATGACCCTATACCAGGACAGCAGCAGACCATTTAGTATTTTACCTCCCATGTTCTCTAACATACATGGCTCATCTATGCACCATGTGGCACCAGGTTCCTCTGATCTTAGATAGATGCCAGTGCCCCATTGGTCTGAAGCATCGAATGAGGTGGCTAAATGGGATTCTGAAGTGGAGAGATGATGTCACATTGTGTATGTCAATGTGGGCTCTGGTCTTAGACTGATGGTTCATAGCTTGCCCCTTCCCCATGCCAAATGTGACATGTAACCCTCAGTTCCTTCACCTACAAAATATGGGAAAAAGTTTTTCTTAGCTCATAGTATTGGCATGGAGACTAAAGAAAGATAATCTCTCAGAACACTTAGAACCATGGCACAGGAAGAGTGCCTGATAAATATGAGTAGAAATGAAGTCAATCTTAATTTTCATGATTGGTTAATGATTGGTTTCAGCAGGGACCAGGCATACAAAAGAGTCAAAATTCAAGTTAATATATGCAAGGAGACTTCAAAAAGATCAAGAAAAGTGGAATTAAGGTGCAAACTTATTTTGGTGCACAAAAAGATCAAAAATCCATGTTCACTTTTAAAAAAGAACATGCATTTTCCAAGAACTTTTTGAAGACCTCTTTTGTACTCGAGGCTAAGATTTCACTAAAGTACATTATATGTGTAATTACTAGTTTTATCTAGAAATAGAGATAATATGGTAAAGCTCAGATCCAAAACTATCAACATTAACATAGTGACATATTAATGTAAGTTGTTTGTTCATGGAAAAACATTTGAACATTATACAATTTCCTCTCACTCTCTCTTTTTCTTTGCAAAGGTTAAGGATATTAATATTATAAAGAATTTAGAACACCCACAGGAATTTTTCAGCATATAAGAGTTATGCACAGGGTCGAGTGTAAGAGAATATAGCAAGATCTTCCCATTAAGATTCAAATTCTTCCTTCTTATTTAATTTCTGGTCAGCTCTTAATCTTACCCTGCACTCTGGAATGATAAAAGCATTAAGCCTCCCTTGAATTCATTGGGAGTTCTATGCCCAGTGGGCTTCATAAAGCAGAGTAAGAAAAGGGGCAG